AGAAAGTGCCGGTTTTGTGACTTCTCCACAATATGGTGCTGGCGCAAGACACTTTGGCACCTCTTGTGTCCCTCATCCCTCCCACTTAGTCCTATCTTTGAGAGTCCTAGAGTAAGCTAAACATCCTCCACTCCCAGGTTCTCTCAGAGCAGCCAAAGCATATGACTAGGGGTCTGACACCCCCCAGTTGTGGTCGTCTGTCTCTCTATCCATCTGCCTGACTCCTTCCCCACACTACCTTCTTGGCAGAATGCCCTTTGGAAAGTTAAACATTGCTTCCAGATGGAAACAGAACATGGGAAGGGAATTGTATTCATTTTTACATCACTGGAAATGCTAGGAAAGAGAAGAGTCCAAGGTAACCTTTGTGAACCCCCCCAAAAAAATTTTCATCTAAGTTTTTTTTATGATAATGCTCCATGCTGGTGGGGCCATGGTGAAAGGGAAGAGGCAACCCCCATACACTGTTAGTGGGAATGCAATTCAGTAGAGTTTTTGAAAAGCTTTCTGAAAAGCTATTTGCTAGGATGTATCAAGACCCTTAAAAAAAAGTGCCTAGCCTTTGACCCACTAATTTAACTTCCAGGAATTTACACTAAGGAAACAATTGGAGACACGGGCAGTGGTCCTCAACAAGGATGTGAGTTGCAGCACTATTTATAATAGCTAAAGGGGGATAATGATCTGAATGTACACAATAAAAGAATGGTGACATCAATCAGGGTATACCATACAATAGAATACCCTGTTGGCATTTTAAAACTATGGTATTAAAGGCTATTTAATGACATTGGAAAATGCTTTATTTAGTGAAAAAAACAGGCTACTAAACTATGTATGTAGTGTTATTCTCCCCCCAAAACAGTGAAGAAACATGCCAAAATATTAACAGTGATTATCAGTGGTATAAATTATGTATGATTTTATTGCTTTTCTTGCTGTTTGGTATTTTCCAATTTTCTACAAGGCTGTCTGTAATTTTGAGTATCAGAATTTAAAAAGATTAGCTTTCTCTTTAATGGTCAGCTTACTGCTCATCTTGTACCAGCTCAGGTTTTAGCTACTGTGGTGTGGAGACCAGAGAGGGTCTGCCACATCCGTCATCAGATTGGGCAGCCTGCCGGGGCAGCCCTGCCCACATCATGGCAGACATGCCCTGGCTGGTACAGCAGACGTTCCATCATTCAAGTGAGTCACCACAGAAGGGTGTCAAGCTGATGATATTGCCACACACTGTACTCGAACTATCAGCCACAACCCACCATGCTGCCAGGCCTTTTAGCCTTATCTTCCTAAACCGTTATTTCTTCACTGTCCAGTGAATGTCAGAGGGGCTGACTGGGACTGTCTGACTCCTTTTGAGGACACTGTGGACCAGCAAACTAAAGATGATGCAAGCCTTCCAGTTGAATCCAAACCAGACCAGCAAATGTTCCTTCCATGCTAAAGTTTAAGCTGTTGTTGTTGCTGTATTGGGCCTTGATTTCGGGGCCTGGTGGGACACTCAGGAATATTTAGGGTGAAAAATGTGCTGAGGCATTCAGCTCAGATACTCTCATCTGGACTCTGTGGATTGTGGAGAGGCCTTCGGGGGTCATCTGCTAAGATGGTAGTTATAAAATTATTTTCTCCCATCCTAACCTCAATCATTTGTTATATTTGGCCTCATTAGTGGGAAAAGAGTCTGAGAAGTTGATATTAGAGGTTTCAGAGCCAGTAGCAAAACTGACTGTTGTTTGTCTGTTTTGTTTTCGGTTTTTTAGGGGTGAGATTTTTTTTGTCTTCTGTTATCATTTTTTCAATAACCTATAGCCAGACATTTCTGTAGTGAAACTGAGAATATAAGATTATACAGTCTTGGACCATTATCATCATCCCTGTACATCTTATTCCCCACCTATATGTTCTCTGAGTTGCATCAAAACTAAAATATAATGTGCTCTTTTTTTCTTGGAGGAACATTTTTACGTTTGCAATCATTGTGTTGCTGCAGGCATCAATCATTATGGTATATAAAAATAAGTGTTCGATAGTATTTGTTGATAGTGAGTTTTGTTGACATGACTCTGAAGCACAAATAAAACGTGGTAATTCCATCAGTAGTGGAATTTTTCTATAAAATTCTTTTTCAGATTTTTTATATAAAAAATCATAGAAGTATTGTGGAGTATACATTTTATTATTATACTAAAACATAGTGGTAATAAATTTTAAATTGTGGTCATTTTATAGCAAACAAATGTTCTGCTATGACTAAAACACAAGCAAAACGTAATTCCATTAGTTGTTAAAAATTACAGTTAATACTCTGGCAATTGACCTTGGGATTGAAGAGTAAGTTCTTATAATCGTATGAATACATGCATTCCAACCGCACCCCCAGGTAATTTCAGCCGTGTACCATTGGCCAAGAACCACTTAGATATCCAAAGATGTAAAGAGACGTTCAGAACCCACATTGTGTTCTTAGAATATGTTTCCAACTATGCTTTTTTTAGGCATAATTTTTGGTACAGATGAGATAGGAAGCTGGAGGTGTTTCCTACTTATAAAAGCCACTAAAAAGAAAAGAAAAAAAAAAAACTCAAAAAAAGTCTTAAGGACTTTTTAATTGTCTTGTGGTGACTACTGACCAGAGGAACAGATTAGTCCAGGCCTCTGGGCCTGGGTTGCTCTCTTGAACCTTCAAATTGTCCCTGGTCAGAACTCATGTTCCTGGGCTGGCCTGCACTTGGGAAGTCACCACCAGGCCTTGCTTACCAGGTCATTATCTAGTGGGGCAGGTTATGGTGAGAGGCCTTTCCTACCAGCTGCAACTAGGGAGTCCTCCCACTGAGGACTGCACAGGAGACACAAGGCAGCACTCTCTCCCGGGGCTCGAGGCAGTCAAGTGGGAGCAGGTATTAAACTAATAATAGAATAATTTATCCCTCACCTGATGAATCTTACTGTCTTATATTACAGTGGTTTTTTAATCTGCCCCATCTTGTCAAATGCGTTTTAAGTTCTCAAGATTAGGGACTTGGTAAATGCTATGTTGTATTCCATTTATTGTCTTGATCATACTAGGTGCTCAATAACTATTCTTTGCTGGATTAATTGAAAAAAAGAAAAGCCATATTCTTTGAATTTAACCTCTTCTATTTTATGAATTCCATCTGCTGTATGAATCTACCAGACAGAAGACTAGAGGCAAGATTGGGGATTTTGTTGGAATTTACAATGTGTTGAATCTTATTGAGTCTCTCTGTTGCTGCATTCCCATTTTCCCTTGCAAATGTGGTAGACATCTAAAGGAAACTCATAAATCAGTGGTTAAGAAGGCTTCTGGTGCTATGGTTGGGTCTATAAAGAAGCTTAGCACAGTGTAGAGGGGAACAGAGCAAATCCTGCCACCCCAGAGGCGGTCCACTGTGGCAGCAAGAGCCCTGGGCTTGGAGCCAGGGGCTTGGGGTCTGAACCTTGGCCGTTTCACTTACAGGCTGGGTATCTTCAGACAAGCCTCAGTCTGGCCCAAGTTTCCACATCTGTGAAATGGGAATTATAATAGTGCCTCTTTGCTTTTGGGTGGGTTAGATGTGATTCATTAATTGCTCAATAATTATTTATTGAATACCTACAGACACTATTTTAGGCATTAGAGATACAGCAGTAAACAAAATGGACAAAAATCCTACCCTCGTAGAATTTATGTTCTAGAAATATAGTACACATAATGGCATTTAATAAATGTTTCATTCAGTTAGTCTGAGGATATCTGATGAACTCACACAATGGATTTTTACTGTATAATATTTCCATAGGTATTTATTTACAATTGTAGGTCATTAGGGCCGTTATTGGGTCTCATGTCTGAATCGGGTATGTCCCACTAAGGAGAATATTTATGTGTTCTTGATAAATCCCACTATGTTTAGAAAATCTGTTCCCCGGGAACTGGAGTGCTGTCATTTTCATCTCCATAAACTTCTTGGACCAAATTATCCAGCAGTCAGCTGAGGCCCAGGGGCTACAGGTGGTGTTGTGGCCAGGTGGTTTCCACGTTTTCTCAGTCGTGGGTGTTTGCACTGTCTCTAACTTAATGTGATTTTACAGAGTTGCTGAGATGTTTGTTTGTTTGTGTAATTTGTAGAAATAAGTCAAAGGGCTAGCATGACCAGTTATAATCCACAAACCATATTTTAGTGAGTAATTTCAACCTTTCCTCTCCAAACTTTTGATCAGCTACCCATCAAAGAACAAAATGACAGATTTAAGGTTTCAGTTCCTCATTTTTTTCATTGCCTTCCCTCTGGGGCTTTTTCTTTGAGCGTCAAAATGCCCAAAATCCATAAAAAGAGAAAGAGCAGGCCTGGAAAGCAAACCTCAGAGGAACTGCATGTTGCCCGTAATCGCATGCCCTCTCCTGAGATGTGTGTGTCCAGACCCGTCCTCCATCCACTATCATTTTCCTAATGCAGTACTTCTCCGAGTCTCCAATGGCACACAGCCCATTTAGTTAAAAATGTAAACAGGAAATTGTTTTCTGGCTGAATGGCCTGTATGGCCCAGAAAAATGGTCATTTTTGCTGAGACACAACTTTAAAAACACTCACACAGCAGTGGAAGCTGAAGGCAGATTATAAGCTAGCCCTGCCCCAGACAGAGGCTGGTGATAGGATACAAGTGTGGGAACTCAAGTACGTGGGTTCAGGGCATTTTTCACTGGTGACCAAAGGCACAATGGACGTGACTGAAGAAGCTCCTCTCACCTAGAAAGCAGTTGTTCTGCAGAGCAAAGAGACACGTTAGTGCTCTGAGGAATTATGGAACAGACATTATTTGGAAGGCACGGAGGTTTGGTCTGGAGAAATGTGACTTGGCACTGACAACATGTCCTGGGTTTCAGTGCTCCTGTGGTCTGCTCCAGCTCCCCGACATTTGGCCTCCCATGAACCTCCTGTGCTCCTGTTGTGGTTTCCCTGTGTGCTGACGAGTATTCTGGTTGTTATGTCTTGCAGCCCCCCGAATCCAAGCCCAACTTCACCCCTCTCGCCTTCTTGGCCCATGTTCTCGGCGCCATCCAGCCCTATGCCCACCTCATCCACGTCCAGCGACTCATCCCCCATCAGGTCTGTTGCAGGGTTTGTTTGGTTTTCTGTTGCTGCCGTTGTTCTCTCATTGGCTTGGTCCTCTTTTCATGCAGTGTTCAACCTCCTCGTCAACTTTGTTCCCTGCCATCCAAACCTGCACTTGCTTTTTGACAGGCCAGAAGAAGTGGTTCATGAAGACTCCAGGTAAAATCACGGATGATGACCAGTCCATTCCCGTCCCCAAAGCCAGTCAGGGATGACGGGGGGCCAGCCTCTGCCCTCCTGTGATTACAGCCTAAGAGAGCAAAGCCGGGAGGGACCACTTGCATGAACCAGCATGGCATCTTCCACGCCCTTCTGAACCCTTCCTCTGGTTTCTGAATTAATCTGTGATGCCTGAAGTTTGGGGAAAGAGTGCCTTCTGAATGGGCTGCTGTTTGGATTGCTCTCTGAATCATGGGGCTCTCTGTGCTTTGGTGTAAGATAATACCAGAGGGAACAGTGCTGAGGCACGTACCAGCCTTTTCTTCTCTCTTTTTTATTAGGTAGCATCAGGCAACATTTATTTGTGGGTTGGGGTATCAGCAGTGAGCACTGACACCTAGTTGCTGAGACCAGACCACTGGAAGAAAGACAAATATAACACAGAATAAAGGATCAAGATATGAAGTGATTTCTCTTTAAATCGTTCCTGGCCATCTCCTTCCCCTCTGAGCACTCCCAGGAATCATCTGTGCTCCCAGCCCACTTCTGTCTCCATGTCATGAACCCTTAGCTCTCATGGGAACAGGGTTGACCTAGTTTCTCTCCCCAAGGGCTGTGCTATAGTTTTCCCTGCTTTAATGACATCCAGACTTAATTCTTTGCACTTGAGCTCTTTGGAGAAAAGAAGCTGTTTAAATCCAGGAAAAGAATTAATAAAGATCTAATGAAGATCCTGCAAGATCCCTCTGCTGTGTAGGTCCTGAGCATGTGTGTCTCACGAACTTAGTCTCTGCTTTCAAACAACCAGAATGTAGACCCCAACTATAAGCATCATATGCATTTTGGGCCTTGGCAGTATTTTCTTGTCCATCTTTTTCTCATAGCTGGTTTTTTCCTAAGGGGTGAGTCCAGCAGCAAGGCTTAATAATTTATAATGCTGAGTCTCACTTTTAAAAAAAGAAAACCCCATGCTATTTATATATGAAGATGTATATTTATTACTTTATTCTCCTCCAGGCACTTTCATATCTATCATTTCGTTCTATCCTCATGTGAGAATGAGAGGAGAAATGGTCTGAACTCTATTATAAAGAAAACTAAGGCACAGAGAGGTGACTTGTACATGGTCACATGACCAAATGAGAGCCAATCCAGAATTCAGGACTTCTTGCCCTCAACCCAGCACTCTTTCCTCCAAACCTGTGGGTGACCCCAAATTTAAGTTTCCATGCAGCTCCTAGCCCCAATGCCTGGCCTGCTCCTCTAGGTTTTCTATCTAACTTTGCCCTGGAAGATGGGAAATATAGTTTTACAGTATATTCTTTTATCCTCACCCTGGGAATAAGGTAAAAATTCAGATCATGTTTTCTTGACACTCAAGTTATTTCTGAATTATTTCTTAGACGTATTCTGGGGTCTTTGGGAGACGTTAACTTTCTAGGACACCAACTATGGCATGGATTGTTCTGATTAGATCACTGTTTGCCCCAAGAGGACCTGAACCAGAGCAAACTACAGTGACCAGAGACAGTCACCTTCCAAAATACCTCACTCATTCATAAGAGAGACTTGGGCATTGGGAAAATGTGGCTCCTTCATTTTGATCAAAGGGAGTAAAATATTCAAAACATTGGCCCCTTGGACAGAACCAGTTAGGGCCTCAAGGCCTCAAGGCAATAGAATCATTCAACTGAAAAACTGAAATGTACCCTCTCCTTGAGGGTATTCACTTTCTTCGTGTCTCTGAGCTCTGGGGCCCTGTTGCCTGTCCAGTATCTCTACCACTCTACCTCTCCACTTCCTTCCACCTCCCAAGGTATTTCCAGGTTTTTTTCTTTAGCTACTCCTTTCCATCTCCCAAAGTATTTCCAGATTGACAGAGGACAGTGGCAGCAGAATCTGCTCACCTCGTGTGTTTGGGGTCATGGTTACTCAGTACTGCCCACTCTCACCATCATTAAAATAGCCCCATTTGACAATGCTGTTCTACAATCCTTTAGGAAGCTGCCATTTTGAAATACGTAAGGCAGAGTAGGACTTGGAATTGGTTGTCACTAAGCTAAATATGTGTGCTGAGCTGAGCACGGATAGGGGCACTGCTGGGGAGCATGCCCATCAGAGCTAGCCAACAGAGAGGGCCAAAATCCCCTAACTGCTGTTGCAGTGTACAGCCAAGAGGTGGGGGCATATACCCATTATTCAGGTCTAGTAGGGCCTTCCCCCACATCCACTTCCAGAACATGAAGCTTCAGATTTCTTTCCCTGGGCAGAGCTTTTAAATGTAAATACTTAATTAGACCTAGTTAATGGTCCCATGAACTTCTACATAATGTCTCCTCTGGAAATGGCTTCCTCTCCCCTCTTCGAAGCATTTCTAGCGCTTATTAGTTCAAGCTGAGGAACTAAGATGCCTTGCACAGCACAGCAGAGCAGGAGTCCTAGAGGAGCATTCCCTTCACATTTCTCTTTCCTTTCACTTCTGAAAGTGAAACACTCCCTGCCCCAAACTCATAACTTGCATTTGCACAGGGGCCCCTGGAAATTGTTCCTAAATGATCCAGCCATTGCGACCTGCGAGTCTAGCTGGGCACCTCCCTGTGGTGCTGTACAATGGAGAGTGGGTCGTCATTTTGCAAGGCTTGCAAGGGCGTTTGAGGGAAACTCCTCTGAGTACTTTCCTGGCCTCATGCCATGCTTAGAGGGGAAAATTAAAAATGAACTAGCAGAAGGTTCCAAACTTATTTGTGCCCTTGAAGGCCCAGCTGAGGTCTGAAGGGCGCTGTCACAGGGGCAGCCAATGAGCACCCAGGCTCTCTGTGTCCAGTGTTGAGAGGCATTGCGAAGAAGGGGGAGCCAGGGAGCCAAAGAACCAAAGATGCTTGGTGGGTATTTTTTATTTTTTCATCAGAGCCAAAGCCTACAAACACAACCTCTTGCCAACAGCGTCTGTTTTGGTAGGAACCCTACCTAAAGCAAACTGCTCCAGGCTTTTAAGAGGGAGTATGGCATGGGACACTGGACGTTTTGGGCTGACAGACTTAAAAGGATAAGACTTTCCCCTGGGTACAGTTGCCAGATTTAGCAAATAAAATGAAGATACAGGACACTCAGTTAAATTTGAATTATAGATAAACAACAAATGATTTTTTTAGTGTAAATATGCCCCATGCAATATTGGGACATACTCATACAAAAAAAGTATTCATCATTTATCTGAAATTCAAATTTTACAAGGTGTCTTGTATTTTATTTGGCAACTCTAGTCCTAAGGAACAGGAGTGGTCCTTGTAAAAGCATCCCTCTGCCATCCCTCTCATTTCTGTGCACATCCTAAGTGGAGGGGGCCTCAGGGAAAAGAGCCTCTCATAGACTCAGTCACCTGTTAATTTGAGAGGAAAGCAAGGCCGTTTCCTGACCTTTGTTTTTATTTGTAATGTACCATTTTATTGTCTCTTCATTATTGAATTCCAAAATCCTAATATTAATGGAAAATTATGCCTCTTGAATGATAATCTTGGGCACCTGAGACCATTCCCTTTGCTTTCTTCCTGCCAGATATGCCAGTTGGTTTCCCTGGCTGGCCCCTTTTGTGTCCCATTCCCTTTATTTATTGTGGTTAATAAATAACCTCTATGAAAATCCAGCTGGAGGAACCTTGCCTCAGATGATCTTTCCCTCACCTTTTATTTCCCCATCCCCGGTCTCTTTGCTCTCTACCCACCTCAAGGGCCAGTGGCCCTAGCTAATGTTGACTGGATTCTCCTTCCCCCTTCCGTGTCATGACAGTCTCTCCTTGCCTGTCGGTATGGGCCTGTAGCCGTTCAAGCACTTTTCACAACCAGGTGACTCCTCATCTCTGCTCCCTATTCCCTCAGAAAAAAAAAAAACCAAAACTTTTTTTTCCTCCCTGGAAAGCTGCACATTGGATGTTTGGCCCTTGCTAGTCAACACGCAGACTTGGTTTTGGTTAGATCACAGAATGTGCCCCTTGTCCTGAACTTGATTCTGACTGTATATAATTGGACAGGAAGAGCTGTTTTCCATTTGGAGCTGATGAATCCTAAAGGCTCTCTTCCCTTCATTCCCAGCAGACTCACTTTATTTTCTCCCACTTTCCTAATTTTCTCCCACCTGGCCATCTTCTCTTGGCTACTAGAAGACCAGAGAGAACAGTAAACTGCACCCTGGCAACAAATTCTGGATGATCACTTACTCTAATCGTCCTGACAAGAGATCTTTTAAGTCATCTTTCCTGCAGTTTTTGTGGAGCCAAGACTGGATGTTTTAGATGGCTGGCCCTGGTATAAGTGTCTATCCATCCATGGCTCCTCTTTCCCAAAGAGAAGCTGAACTTAGTGACTCCAAGAAATAACAGTCACATAATGACCCAAGACGCCCTGCCCCTTCTGATTCTGTGTGTTTACCCGAGACTAGGCCAATCTTCAGCTAAATCTCATTTGGCCCCTAGAAATCAGTGCACTATGGGAGGGTTAGCATCACTGGCTTCTTGAGGCTTTTAATTAGTCAAATGACGCTAAAGTAAATAATATCCCTTGAATAACTGTCTAACCCAGAGGACCTACTTGCTCTTTTTTGATTCTGTCCTTGAGTCCCTAAGTGTACTTCCTCAGGTGGCTTGAAGGGAGAAGGAGATTGCTTTTGGCAAAGAAAGAGCCAACTTTTGACTATTAAATGTCGTTTTTCTTATGACCCTGAGAAGTCCATAGATTGTTTGAAACTAGTTAACTATCAAAGCAAAAATAGATAGAAGGTTAAAAAAAATGATAGAAGATAGAATTTACCAGTTCTTACAACTTACCATCTAGAACACGGGTTACCAAACTGTGGCCCATGGGTCAAATCTGGCCCACTACCTGTTTTTTGTAAATAAAGTTTTGATGGACACAGCCACACTAATTCATTTACATGTTGTCTGTGGCTGCTTTCCTGCTACAATGCAGAGTTGAGCAATTGCATCAGAGACCGTTATGGCCCACAAAGCCTAACATATTTACTCTCTGGCCCTTTGCAGAAAGAGTTTGCCAAGCCCTGCTTTAGAATGGTGGTTCTCAGCCCTGGTTGCATACTAGAATCACTTGGAGAGCTTTTTAAAAATACTGATGCCTATATTTATATCTGCAAGTCGGAGTAGAACCCAGACATCTACACTTTCTCGAAGTTCCCCAGATGATTCTGATGCTCAATGAGAGTGATTGTCAACACGCCTTAGAGATGAGAAGGGAAAGAAAAGTGCATGCTGTCCTCTCTCCCTTCTTCCTCACCACATTCCCCGTACACGTTCACATGTGTGCTCATGCACACACATGTGTAACTGCTCACGCACACACACACACCCCTTGTCTATTCCCTGCCCTCCCCTTGGGGTCGGGGAGTTCCAGCTCTGGAATCCCGCTCCACCAGCCCGATGAGAAGTAAGTAACATTGGGAGAGCTAATGTTAGCCCATGGCCTGAAGCCGAAACCCAGCTTTGCTAGAATTTCTCCTTTTTGACTCACTGAGCATTGCCAACTTTCAACAGGGTCTGTTGGGTGTGTTCTCCAGAGCAACTTGGAAGTTCTTTCCTGCCCCACCCCCCTCCTCCTGAGCTTCTCTTGCACCACAAATGGGGCCCTGCCTGCCCGGCCACTGTTCAGCTGTTATAAGTTCTAGGTAAAGTTTTAACATGGCACAAGGTGACTCCACAAGAAGTGTGGTTTCTTGGGGCTTATGGCTTTTCTCTGACTATTTCTCATTTTTCTCTGGTGACCTTTGCAACTTTTCCACCTCATGTTTTGCCATCTGGCTGCCTTGTCAGGCTCTTCCCACGAGAGAGGACGAGGTGGCTTGCAGGGAAGGGGAAGAAGAGAGACTGAATATCTGGGGCTTTCAGAGGGTTTTAAAAAACTGCTCAATAAACCTGTTTTCACACAGCACACCGTTCCGGAAGGCAAAAGCCTTGTATGCCTGCAAAGCTGAACACGACTCAGAACTCTCATTCACAGCAGGCACGGTCTTCGATAACGGTGAGTTTCTCATCCCCTCGCAAAGCTATGGGAGGGAAAGCAAATAAGTAACTGGTGTTTTCAAAGTTCCTACCTAAGGAGAATCTCAGTAGAATGGGTAAGACTGTAAAGGAGTGTGTGGGTGTGTCTTTTCCCAAAATAAGAGAGCAGCAGCAGGACTCAAGGAGACACTGTCAAGAGGAGATGGGTGTAATCGGCTCTTCATTCTGACCAAGGCAGTCTCACCAAGGTGTGGCCGTTAAATGCCATTGTACCTGCACAGGACTCAGCCCTGCACCTGGCAGTGGCTTTGAGAGTCTGGGGGCAGAATGAAGGGTAGGGGATAAAGGAGTGGAGAACAGGGGTCCTGCCAGTGGTCAGAAGCACAGGGTGGAGACTGAGGCCACAGGTTCTGGTCCCCTTTCCTTTTGGGTTCAGTGGCATTTACTGTCCATAGCAGGCGAGGCCGATTTCTGAGATGGAAGGGGATTGGGCAATCTCCAGGCCAATAAGGCTCACTGTGTCCCTGCTCATCCTCCCTCTAACTGTTGGAAGCATGGACTAGACCACCCCACAGCCAAAGCACCCTGCACACTGCCAGCTGTCCTGCTCAGGAGTCCTGGTGTGAAAACCGTTACTGCCACCTGCCCCATAGAACGCTGCCCTGTAGAACTAGGAACTGGTACTTGCTTGATGCACCATTGTCTTGTTTCTTTTTGTTTTCCTTCCTAAAAAAATGGTAATATTTTTTAAAGTGAGAATTGATGTCTAATTTGTCATAATTTATCATTGACCTAAGAGAAAAATCAGGATTCTGGGGAAAAGCCCAAGTTGCTGTTACAGCTGAGATTTTCCCCAAATGAAATTCTTCTTTGGGGATCCTCTTTCTGGATCCCTGGGTAAAAGAGTCTGTTTATTTTGCTCAAAGCAAAAGCAGCTGCCTGGTTTCCGGAACTGGACATTTTCTCTGGCTCCGTTCTTGACCTCAGGTGGGTGGGGGTAAAGTCCCAGGAAGGGGTGAATGCGCATTGCGCAAGCGCTCCCCATCACAGCTGGGCAGCCCCACCTTGGCCTGGACCACGCCTCCTAAGGCCTGCCTGAGACCCAGAAATACCGAGCAGCCGAGGCTCCACCCAGCGCTGGAAAGCCTGACTCTAGATTCAGGCCACCAAAGTGTGGATTCTGGCTTGACCACTTGCTCCTGTGTAACCTCAAGCAGTCACTTAACTTCTCTGTGCCTCCTCTGTCATATAAAGATTACACTACCTACCTTATAGGGCTCATGAAAGAAAATTGAGAAAACGTCTGTCACGTGTTTAAAATAGCACTCAATGCATATTGAGCAGTCAGTATTATTGTTAACTATTATTGTTATGATCATCGTCATCGTTACATCCATCTTAGAAAATACCCCGACCCTCTCATAGTTCACAGCGACAGTTTCCCCTTCGGCTGATATGCCCCAGGCCTGGCTCTCTGCTGGGCAGTAGGTGCTGCTCCTTGACCCCCTGAGTGGGTCCTGGCTACAAGATCTGTAAGGGCCTTGAGGTCCAAGCCAGAGCAGAGATGGGCTTCTGGGGACCAGCCTTGACTGCGTCCACATGCAAAGGGGCTGCCTCCCTGTGTGCCCAGCCCCTGCGTTCAGTGTGGCAGAGATGTTCTGGGTGGACAGAATGGGAAACAGACCACAGAGTACCTGGCAGATTCCCAGGTCACACTAAGCACTGGACCTTCTGAGCCAGCAGGGGTGGGGCATCCCATAACTGCATGTGGCCTGCTGGGCCTGTGTTCTCTCTGATGGTTCTCAAAGCCCAAAGTACTGTCCTTAAACCCTTGCCCCATTAACTTTCATTCAAGCTCTTTACAAATCAAGGCACACAGCCTCTCCTCTATCAGCAGCTGGAGCTTTCAGGCCCTAGCAGACCTGCAGGTGAAGTGGGTCTGCTGAAGGCTGTCCAAAGCCGTATCACTGGCAAGTGTCCCTGCACAGGCCCAGGTTGGGGAGTCACAGCCCAGCCATAACATGACACAGTTTTCACAGCAGACAAACCAGAAAGGGCTGCATGCACTGGCAGAGAGGGGCTTCTGCCTATAGATGAGCAGGATTTGAGAGATCCACACATGTACAGGTGAATCCAGAGTTTAAAGGTCTGTCCTCTGAACCCCAATTCACTGCTCACATGGGCAAGGGACTGCCATGCTCCTATCAGCTATTCACTCTGACAACACAAAGGACCTCTGATCCCAGGGGCAGAATTAGTTTAAGCTCTCAAAAGGCATGTGCGTGCATGTGTGTCTTATTTGTGACTCCTTTTCTTGAATGCAGCCTTCTTCCATTTTTTTTAACAGCTTTGTTGAGATATCCACATACCATACAATTTACCCTTTTAAACTATACAATTCAGTTGTTTTTAGTATATTCAGATTTGTGCAACCAGTGCCACTATCTAATTCCAGAATGTCTTCATCACCCCCAAAAGAAACCCTGTACCCTTCAGCAGTCATACCCCATTTACCCCCACCCCTCCTCCATCCAGCCCTAGGCAACCACTAATCTACTTCCTGTGTCTCTAAATTTGCCTGCTCTGGATATTTTATATAAATGGAATTATACAGTATGTGGTCTTTGTAACTGGCTTCTTTCACTTAGCATAATATTTTCAAGGTTCATCCATGTTGTGTCATGTATCAGAACTTCATGGCTTTTTATGGCTGAATAATATTCCATTGGGGCCGGCCCCGTGGCTTAGCAGTTAAGTGCGCACGCTCCACTACTGGCGGCCCAGGTTTGGATCCCGGACACACACCGACACACCGCTTCTCCAGCCATGCTGAGGCCGCATCCCGCATACAGCAACTAGAAGGATGTGCACCTATGACATACAACTATCTACTGGGGCTTTGGGGGGAAAAAAAAAAGGAGGGGGATTGGCAGTAGATGTTAGCTCAGAGCTAGTCTTCCTCAGCAAGAAGAGGAGGATTAGCATGGATGTTAGCTCAGGGCTGATCTTCCTCACAAAAAATAAAAATAAAATAAAAATAAAATAAAATAAATATCCCATTGTATGGGTAATACCACATTTTACTCATCTATTCATCACTTGATGGACATTTTGATTATGATCACTTTTTGGCCATTATGAGTAATGCTGCTATAAACACTTGTGTACCAGTTTTTGTGAGATCATGTGTTTTCAGTTCTCTTGGTGATATACTCAGGAGTGGGATTGCTGGGTCATACAGTAACTGTGTTTAGCTGTTTAAGGAACTACCAAATGGTTTTACGAAGGGGTTGCACTATTTTACATTCCCTCCTTCTTCTGTTTTTAAGTCTCCTTTTTGAAGTAGCTAACCAAAAAGAGAAAAGAAAAGATACGTAGGTGATTTTTACCTGCCAAGTCCTTTCCTTCCCAGCAGGATCCTCCGCCTAGCATGTTCTGTGACTACTCCCACCCCGCAATTTGGTAATTGTCATAAGTCCTGTCATGATAAATGAAAATAGGAGAGAGGTTTGGTTTAACGAGTCAGAAGCCTTACCCAAGCCTTCCGGTGGTCTCTGGGAATCAAGGCTGAGTTCGTTGACGCTAGTTTGTTTTTAACCAGCAATGCCAGTGACCTTTCAAATTCCCTGAAGAGCAAAAGGCCAAATTAAACCCCAAATAAAACACCTCTCAGTGTTGACTGAGCTGCAGTCAAAGAAAGATCTGACAAAATGTTAAAACACTTTTTAGATTGGTTTGGCTGATAATATTTTATGATTTTGGATTTTTAGAAAATGCTACATATACCGATTTCCTGCTCCCTTTACTTCTATAGGAGAAGTCAGGCATTCTTCTAACGCTTTAGATAGGGAGATCTTTTTCCTCGTTCTATCTCTTATGAGTTTCTTGCTGTAGATACGAGGTAAGGGCTGTTTAAGTTGGATGCTCTGTAGTTGCCAAATTAAATCATCAGACCAATCAGAAGAAAGTCTCCTCATGACAGGGTTAAAGTGAGTGTGTGTGTGTGCGCGTGTGTGCATGTCTTCCTTTTCAGGATTAGGAAGAACGAATAAGGAGGAGGAAGAGGGAGGGGCGCCTTGAGGGGAAAGTCTGTGGTTTCGTAACGATGAATTTCCAAGCCTTTGGATTCCTGGGGCCCATGCTATGAATCTGGAGTGCCTGCTCATTCAGCTTTCAGACTTTGTGCAGTGGGGAATGGATGTGCAATACTCGGAAATAACTCCAGTGTCAGCCCTTGCCGCTCTACTAGGAAACTGTCCACTTCACCAAGAGCACCTCCGAGAGTAACTGGAAAGAGAACTCGTGTTCTCAGGAACATTAGTCATCTTAAAGCAACGCAATTAGTGATACCTGGAAAATTCACTAAATTGGGTTCTTGGGATACTTTCCTCAAGGTTTGAGATGGGCTGGATCCATTCATTGCTGGGGTACAGGGTGCAGCATGAGAGCAAGGCAAGGCTGTCCCAGGTTTCCTTTGCTGATAGAGAGCATCTCAGGCAGTGGGGTTACGGGAGAGTTCCTCAGTGGAATCTTTCAGCCTCCCCAGCCGTCTTTATTGCCAAACCCAGGCTACCTCCATCTCTCACCTGGGCATTTCCACCAGCTGCCCCACTGGTCTTGTCACATCCGCTCTTGCCCAGTAACGCATTCTCTGCACAGGAGCCAGAGTGGTCTTTGAAAAATGGAAATCACATTATGTTATTCTCCTGCTTCAGAAACTCCAGTGGCCTCCCGTTGTTCCTAGAATTACTGCTGAGAACCTTCACAGTCCAGCTCCTGCGCCTCTGGCCCCCCCCCACCTTCTCTCGATACACTGCAGCTTCACAGCCCTTCTTTATGTTCTCAAATTGGGTCGGCAAACTATGGCCTGCTGGTCAAACCCAGCCCACTGCCTGTTTTTGTAAATAAAGCTTCATTGAAACAGAGCCACCCACGCCTTCTTGTTTACATATTATCTATGATGCTACAATGGCAGAGTTACACACGTTTACAATCTGGCTCTTTAAGAAAAATTTGCAGACCATTGTTCTAAAATCGCACCAAGGTTTCCCCATCTTGGGGCCTCTGCATTTGCATTACCCACTGCCTGACTGGCTCCTTTGGGTCATTTAGGTTTTAGGTTTTTGAGCTCCTCCCCACCCACCCACATCCCTATCCCAGTCTCTTTCTCTGCCCTCATCACTACCTAAAATTACATGCTTGTTTATTGTAGACTATCCCTCCCTGAGAGCAGAATCTTGTCTGCTTGCTCTGTACTATGTGCAAGGACCTAGCACACTGTCTGGCACATGGTAGGGGCTTTATAAACGTTTGTTAAATGAGTCAAGGCACTCAACTAACCAGGGGTCTGCGCCCCTTCCAGCCAGTGCTTCTTCCCCTCGGGGCAGCCAGCCAATAGAGATCTTAGTCACACACTTGCTCCTTGTCCACAGTGAGTGAAGGAGGGGAGAGAGAGCGTGAGTTGTGTATGCAGGGGTGTATGGTGTATATATAGATAGAGCTGAGAGAAAGTGGTTGGCAGGAAGCACACCCGTGTCAGCAGCAGCTTATATTTATTATATGCTTGCTGGGCTGGAGAGCTGCCCAGGAGCTCCCTGCAACACCTTGTGTGTTTATATAGCACATTGGACACTGCTCCAATTCAGAAAGTTGGACATGGGTGCACTTCAGCCCAATAGGCACTTATGAGCATCTTCAATGTCCAGAACATTGGGCTAGGCAAAAATGGAACTGGTTAAGACCACAGACCCTAGGATCAGATGTCCTGGGGTCAGATCCACCTCCATCATCTACCAGCTATATAATTTTGGGCAAGATGCTTAACCTCAGTTTCTCATCAGTAAAATGAGGATAATAGCAGAACTAAGTCCATAGTCATTCTGAAGATGAATGGAGGTGATGCAGGTGAAGCATTCAGCAAAGGGCCTGCCACTTAGTATGTGCTCAACATATGTATCATCATTCTTATCCTCAAGGACCACATTCTCTGGTTGAATAGAGGCGTAATTTAGTGGAAAAGGGCTTGGTCTGTGGACTCAAACAGTTGGGTTCAAATTCTGGTTTTACCATTGTGACCCTACACAAATTAATTTATGTGTAGCCTTAATGCCTCTGAGCCTTAATTTTCTCATCTGTAAAATAGGGATAATAATAGCACAAGCTAAGATCTTTAGGATCAAATGAGTCAATATGTATCTAAAGCTCTGAGCTCATGGCTGCTTCCCAGTCACCATTTCTAGCTGTTAGCTTCTGTCTTTATAATTCACCCGGCAGAGGGGAGTCATTGAAGAACGTTGGGCGATATAATACAAATTAAAATGCACTAAAAACTAGTTAGGGAAGCAAAGCTTAACACATGTGAACGGCATTAATAGGACCCATGAATAATATGTGGAATGTACCGTGAACATTCCAGGAATCTGGAGCAGGGAGATGGGGTTCCATGATGGTATTTATGAAGGAGGTGGGGCTTCAGCTGAGCCTTGAAGTGTGGGTAAAGGAAACAGGACAACAGAAAGCAGGGGAGGCATCTGGTGCTGCCTCCCTTCTCCATCAGTTAATGAGAATTTACATTTTAGTTCTTATTACCTCCCTCACTGGAGAGGCATTTTGGCACAGAAAAGTTATAACTCAACTTTCTGTGAACGAGTTAAAATACAGATCACTGGGCCCACTCCAGATCTCTGGAAATTCTACTTTAACCGATGTGCTCTGGGACCCAGGAATCTGTAGTTCTAATAAGCATCCAGGTTACTCTATGCACATAGTCTAGTACCATGCCTTAATAAAGCCTGATGAAGACCCCAGGGAGTCAGCAGTCTGACCCAAAGGCTGCATTGTCCCCCGCCATCTCCTGTGACATAGCTCTTGTTCTCCAATTTGGAGGGCCTCCTTTGTCCCCTCTGATTCTTCCCTTACTCTGCAAATTCTGTTTCTAATGTTTGTAGCCGTTACCACCTCAGCGCCTGAGCTGTGTTTGAACAGCTGGCCAGCAAGGGAGACTGTCTGAAAGACATGGATGCAGTGCATCCGGTGGAGTTAACAACTCAACTAGGAGCTTTGCCGTAAAGTGGGAGGGGTCTTTTTTTGTTTCTTATTTTGTTTGGTTGGTTGGTTATTCTTTCTAGGTCTTTTATTTGGGGGTGGGGGGTAAATTTGGTTTGTTTGTTTTTGGTTCTGAACATTTGAGGTTTCCCAAAACTTAGGTAGATGGTGAGACCAGGCACTTACCCAGGTTTTAACCAGAAGAGAGTCTTGCTGACCACTCCAAGTGATGGGTCAAATGACGCAGGGTCCCCTACTGACTAACGTGCACTGAGCATTTACTGTGTCCTGGCTCTGCGCTGAGTGCTTCCTCTGTGTTGGCTCTTTTATCCTCACAAGAACCAACTGATACGGAGAGAGTTTTATTACCACCACTTCAGAGGTGCAGAAACGGAAGTGATCTTGACAGCATCAGCTGGATAGATGGGCAGAAGGCAGGGGTATTTGGGTGCTACTACTTTAGTGGCAAGATGGGAGATCTTGGTCATGGGAGAGGCCAGGTTGCTTTTAAATTGTGCTGTGTTCTTCCATGGAACTTCTCGCCCAGATTCCTCGTGTAGGTGTCATGAATCCAAAGGACCTTTGCTACTTTGCGTTTATTCCTGAAGCCTCGTGATAGGAAATTATACAAACATTTTAGAGGTTGACTAATAGATGTTTGACCTTGTCTTTTCCTAAAGAGGCCTTCAAGCTCTAGACAAGGGTGACATTAATCTTCTGTAAGCCTCAATGTGTTTCCTTTTGCAGCTTCCTCATTTGCTTCCTTTGGTTTCTGTTCTTGCTTCTTTCCCTACAAAGTGAAACTAGAGTTATATAGTAGCGGTGGGGGCGGAAATGCTTTTCTAAAACTAGCTCAGGAAGTCACTTAATTAGCCTAGGAAGGAAATAGGGGAAAATTCATTCTCTCCAAACAATCCCAGAAGATTGGAGTTTTCCTAATAGATTGAGAGCAAATGCCCTGCCTCGCCCAAGAGTAATTTGTATATTCCCAGTTCACAAGCACAATCACCCCCTGTCTTCAAGCCCCATGACTCCTTCTCTCTTTCCTCCTGCTATAGACTGCTTTGCAGACTCAGCTGGATTTTATATAATCTTTACAAAATCAGTAGTTTCCATGGAGATGGATTTTGATGTCACAGAATGGGTGTATATTCTTTGGATATTGAAAAATCAAAGGGGCAGAAATTTTGAAAGTTGCAATAGAGAGAGGAAGAGGACAGCTTTTAGACTTGTACATAGGAGAGAGGAAAGTTCTAGAAAACAAGAAAGAAAACTAAGAAAGGGTATGGGTGGAACAGAGAGAGGGCTATTCAAAGACTATAAAAGCCAGAAAGAAAAAAAAAAAAAAACACAGAGGGAATTTGCAAGGAAATTGGAAGCAGAGGGTAAGGATTTGAAGGAAAGTAAAATGCTTATTTAGGAGCTAGATATCTCTAAAGACTAGTTCTTAGCAGCCCTCAATGGGCATTCCACTTGGTACATGGTCCATGCTGCGTAGGTAGATGGATGGATGCATGGATGGATGGATGGATACGTAGGTAAATATATGATGGAGCACCATAACTGTGATCTCGAACCTAAAAAGTAGAAATCTGTCACTTCTTTATAGTTTAAACTAGGAACTTCAGAAAGTCCATGAAACTCCTAAAATTGTATGCAAAATTTTGAATGTTTGTGTCTGTTTTCCTTTTTGTTGTGAAGAACGTTCAGAATAGCCTTCATCAGAAGACTTATGTCCCACAAAAGGTTAAGAACCTCTGGTTTAAACAAGTCCTAGAATTATGTAATTTGATGAGTGACTGCACTCATTCTCCAAACCCCCTTCACACATACACACATGCACACACAGCACACATCCATCCCCTGCCTTATCCGTAACCTCGTCTCTGCTTGCTCTCTCTCCCCTTCTCCCACAGTTCATCCATCTCAGGAGCCTGGCTGGTTGGAGGGGACTCTGAATGGAAAGACTGGCCTCATCCCTGAAAACTACGTGGAGTTCCTCTAACCGTGGGCCCCAGCAGAACTGCTGAGCTTTCCGTGGTATCCATGACAACTGCTGAGTCCAGGGTTGTAGGCTATTTCTCTTTGCCACTGAGAAATGCAGGATGACTGACTCTGCTGCTGCCTGTCAACACGAATGTTTCTGTGAACTCTGGTGTCACCCATCCCCATGATCATCTCAGCTGACGTGCGGTGGTACTGCAAGAAACAGAAGTAAATCAGCAGTGGAGGCCATTTGATTTTGAAAACTGAGAGAAGGGCTTGCAAAGCCATTTCTCTCATTTAGCACCCTAAATAGGGAGTGCTCATTTTGTTTCAACAGTCATCCAAATCCCCAAGCTTCTGAAAAAGGAAGTAAGTGAGATACAAGTAGTCCTCAAGAGCGTGCAGTGTAGCTAAGTCTGACAGGGCTGGGCAGACTCTGAGATCCAGGCTGGGTCCATTGCTTTTGTTTACAGTAGACACTCTCTCTACCCCACCTCTAAAGACTTGAGACTCACAGTGCTACAGGCAGCTGGGTCTGTTTGTTTGCATGCAGGATGGAGAGGGGTTACAGCACCGTTTACATAAGATCCAATCTCTCACCATCTCTAAAGCAGCCGTTGGCCCAGCGTCAGCAGAATTCAGTCCAGTCCTCTCATGCAAGGGAACACACACACCCCACGTCCCCCCCTCCTATGCTAGGAACTTCTTTGCCACCAAGGGCTGCCATCACCTCGTAACCACAGCAACCCAACCTACTCTAAAACCAAACCAAAAAAATAACACACTCTCTTTGCATGACTTATTTTTTTCTCCCCCACTTTCGGTAGTTTTTTGAATGGTTTTCCAACAACCTGAAGCAGAAGATCAAGGAATCAGAGTGGTCTACTTGGGGCAGACAATAGCAGTTGGAAACTGTTCCCTCTCTGATGAATTTCAGCAGCATCAGGATACATTTGGAGCAAACTCGAGTAACCTCTTGAGCTTAAATTACATACAGGCTCAATATTTCTGTTCTTCCATGTAACTAGTGTTTGCTTTCTAGAGGGCAATGTGCTGCCTCCCAGCAGGTGACATTCTCCCTTTGACTCGTTCCCTCATGACCTCCTTCCTGATTACCTGTCTCTTCCCTTCCCCTGCCTGCCTCTAGCCCATCCCCCCGGGCAGTGCCCTGGGCTGCTGAGCACTGGTGCCCTGCCAGTTTTCAGGGATGATTCCTGGGCTAAGCCTATGGCCTGTAGTTGAAAAGGACATGTATGTTCACTGCCGCTCAGAAAAAGGGAATTGTTTCTCAGCTTTTGAGGCGTGAGACTAATATCATAAGCCATTGTGATTCAGGAGGACACCAAAAGGTTGGGGCATGGAAGGTGGGATGGGTACCTTCTCAGAAAGAGAATTTCCTGGTCCAGAAGCGGCTAGGTCTTGTGGAAGACTGCCTTGGGCAGGGAAGTTTGGCCTGGACATTTCACATACACTTGGCCACCAAAGAACACAGGCCCCAGTGTCTTCCACATTTGAATGTCCTTGCAGGTGTGACTCTGGGCAGATAAACTCCAAACTGATGGACTGTCAAGCTCCCCGGAACCCCTGGGGATGGCAGCGTTGCTCCAGAGTGTTCCTGCTTCTGGAATGCCTCTTTAGGGAAGTTTAAAGAAGAAAAGAAAAACTTGAATTGTGTTGAATTACTGTATCTTTTACATTTTTTTTGAAAAGATAAACTTGTAAATAGAGTGATTTGAAATACTATATGGCAAAGTTTTATATTTGATATTCTTTAAGCTAGTAGCTCCACACATTTAAGCTTTGATTGCTGAGCAAGTGTGAATAAGAGGGAGAGAGAGGAGGCAAGGTTGGAGAGAGTCAAGGTCGTCCCTTCTCTGGCCTTGAGGAAGGAGAGGATATCTCTGCGTGCTCTCTGCTGGCTCTTGTTGGTGGGCATGACACATCGATGGTGTTCAGTCTTCTTTATTCAGATGTGTTTTTGAGCATTTCTTGGGCTTTGGATTTGGAGATAGGAAGAGCATCTTCAGGCAATGAATTTTTCAAAGAACTCCTACTCGGTGGTAAGATGAAGCTCAGGATTGGAATAGGTGGGGCCAAGGTTAGAGTTTTTTTTGTTTTTCTTCTCAGGTGTATTTCTTGGTGCCCCAAGATATCAGGACAAAAGGAGATGGGATAATTGCGTGCTCCTTATATCTGACTCTCCTGCACATCTTCTAAGGCTTTATAAATGAGGCCAAGCTAGTTTGCAAATGTTATGTGTGTCTAAGTTCTAAGGAAAACTGGCTTCTTAGGATCTTCGGTTCCCAGTATGCTGCTGCTTCCCCTTTCCCTACACATGTTTGTGCCCTTCTTGTCATCTCAGATTTCCTATGACCCCGAAATAAGAGAAAGACTCGAAAGAGAGGTGGAGATTGTGCTGTTATAGCTTTATAGATGGTTTTGAAGTTGATAGGAGTTGTCATTGTGATTCAGTTCATCAGCTCAAGGACTACACGGCTGTCATCCAGGAGCTCACCCTGCAGCAAGCGAGACACTACCACTGAATCAGGGAACAAGGATTAAGACTGGACAAGACCAAAACAGGAGTCAGGAGAGCTGTCATTGGAAACCCAAGACAGGGAACGTACAGACAGGCTACACCTACTCCCGTGGACTTTGAACAGCTTGGGGCCCTGTTCAAAGGGGCCTGATGGGACAAGCATACTCTCTACCACTGTGCTTCCCAAATAGAAAGAGTGCAGCATAATGTTTTTAACACATTTGACATTTTAAATTGTCACCCACTCCATTGGAACCTTAAGTAGAGCTGTCACAGAGGGGCAGAAGGCCCTGGCGCTGACTTTGGGAGTTCCTCACTGAGGCATACCTGTGGACACTTGGCCCCGGCTTGACCACTTGGAAGCGTGTCCCTCCCTCCTCCGTTGGCTCTGATTTGCAGCCAGAGGGAAATGGAGCTCCTGCCAATGGGAATTTGTAGGCAGACCCCTTCTCAGCTTCCCTGTGGCCGTGCTGGGCCTGTGACAGATGGCTGCTCTGTTTCCTTTCCCCAGCCAGGCTCACCTCCCCATTTGCTACAGAACTGGAGAAGCTCTGTGAGCCAACTAATAATAGGAAGGAATTGGAAGACTAAAAATAGATTTTACTGTCTCCACTATCTGTGGCCCCCCACCCTGAATAGGGAATTTTAGGGCAGATTAGAGGAGTGAACTGGGTATAGGAGTGGAAGACCATTGACCGAGATCCCTGAGCTTTCCCAGGAGCCTCGTGTTTCTTTTGTGAGGCCCTGGGGTCAGTTTGGCTTACAGAACCTGAATCTTTGGGTATTAAGATCAGTCTCTCCCTCCTCCTCCAGGTACTCACAGAATTCCATAGCTACAGAATGCCATGCCATGAGAAGATAGCTAGTTTCAAATCCCTGCCCCCAGGCAAGTAAATTCCTGACTTGCTCAAGACTGATGATATTCTCTTGTTTTTTCAAAAATAAACATATAGGGTTGGACCCTGTATGGCACCACCTTGCTTGGTATCCTATAATTGGAGCCAGTTTTTAGCTTAGTGTTTTAGTATTTCTACAGCCATTATGTATTTTCTTCTGTCAGACGGAACTGTCTTTTTCAGCATAATTCCAGTTCATCCCTCTTGCTGAGTGCTTTTTAGACAGAGAGGCAAAGAGAAAGAGAGAAAATGAGCAATCCAGTATTGGCAGACCGGACAGAGCATTAGCAGGACAGAGCCATCCTAGTGACAAGGACATTACAGGCATTTGCTGGGACTGCACAGTTGTGTGTGCCATACCTGTTTCTCAAAGGGAAGTCCTTCTATCAACTGAGTTTGTCTCCTGAAAGTCACCAAAGGCTCTGTCTTGACTACAGAGACTCCAAAAGCCTCCATGACCCCATGACTGAGGGGTAGGGAGAAAGAAAGAATAGGCTAAAGATAACATGATCAATTCTTCATGACTGTCTATTGGCACCTTTCATCCTCTGGACCACCCGTTTTTATAGACACAGGACTCCCAGGTACAACAGTTGCCATCATGGCATCCACAGCTTGTCCTAGTAGTGAATGTTTTATGAGCAACTGTATACCCAAGTAGGTAGCCAGCATTGAAGAAACCAAACAGCCTCTTAGCTACCTGACTTTAAAAGGAATGTCCTGGGTATTCTATGTCAGGAGTTATCTGTCACCTCTTACAACCTCTAGGTAATCAATTACCTTGACAACCTTGCCCCACATCTCTGTTAAGTCAGCTGGGTGTCCTCTCACACACCCTGTGCTGATGTTTAAAAAATTTGTCTTGTGTTCAAATGCGTTTGACAGCCACGCTGATCTGCTGGGTGCTGAACCATTTCTCTGTAATTGTAACATCAAAATGACAACAACAGCAGAGCAATGAACCTTGCACAGTCCTACAGCATGCCTGAGACAAGACTCCAACAAGTAATAATTAGCTTTTTTCCTTTGGCCGCCTACAACACTTGTCTAACGAAAGAGCTTCCCAAAGCAGGAGGAAAGGCCATATAGATTCTGGACGTCATTCAGAGCCAGTCCTTGCTGAAATGTGGTCTTCCAATGGAATCACTTGTATTCTTGGGAGAACAAATATTGGATGTAAAGTAATGCTAGGAGCAGAGAGAAAGAGAAAGGTGAACCATACTGAAGAACTTTGGATTTTTTTTTAAGAGGGAGAAATATGGTTCTTAATAGGGGGAAAAAATCTATCACAGAAAAAGTTCACAACTGATATTTTTACAAAAGTTTTATAGGATACTACAAGATGGAAACATCTTTCAAGGTGGAATGCTTTAGAAAGCAAAGGCTTGGCGCAGTCCTAGACCTGTGTAAGGGTAGCAGTTAACTGTTATGTCAAAATTCTCTTTAGTGTAGTCAGTGAGAACCAGAGTATTGATAATCAAAATGTCAGAATTACCTGGAGAGACCAAGACATTCTACACCATTCTGCATTGACCATTTCTATAAATTTGTCCAGACACCTACAAGCAGCTTCCTTGGGTATCAGATGCCAGGGTCAACCTCGTACCTGTGAAAAGAGGTCCATCTGGTGATTCTAAAATCTGTATGTGTTTGTGTGTTTGTATGTACAGCGCACATTTACACCTGTAAAAATACAGACTCTCGTCTAGAAATCCACATAGGCTGGCAGTTGCTGAGCCTTTCCAGCCTTTATGATCTGAAGGTTGAGCATCAGTGAAAGAAGAGAGGCTGTTGAATGACTATCAAAATGATCAAAGATGTAAATTATGTGCCATTTTAAAACTTTGTTCATATTTATCAAATGGTTACTATCTACAGCTATATTCCTTATTAAGTTATTAAAAGTCATGTTGAAAAAAACAATCAAACTCATAAATGTTTAGTAGCTAATACTAGGCTAGTGTTCAAAAGCACTCTAAAAGATATTTTGTCCGTATTTTGGAGAAGAAAATAGTTGCATGTTTAATTCAAGATTTAGGCTACCTTGGAGTAGATTAAAAGTGCTGTGTGATAAAATATCAATAAAGTACTTAAAAAATGGCACTTTATGTTTTTTTTAAACCATAAATAATGCACTGTTTTAAACTTCAGTATTGAATATTGACTGGTATGTAGAATCCAATTTCGTAATTAAAAAGTAATTTGTGACTAGACTAGGACTTTTTCCTTGTTATTAGTAAAACAGTTTTGCCATGTTCAGGCTTTAAAAAAAAATGTGCTTTTGCGTCACTAAGCATATCTATAAGGAAAATAGAATTTCTGTCGAGTGGCCTCTGAAACTTGGCTTTCTTACATTTGGTTGGAATATGTGACAATCCCTATGAAATGAGTGGAAGTATGATTTTTGAATTAAATGACTTTTCCATTTGGTGGTTATGTTTGTTTCTTGAGTTTCTGATAAAGTTTTGACATGATGCATATTTTAATATTTCTTCAAATAAGCAAAGACTGTTATCAAAGGTCACAAGTCTGGGCTCCTGCGGTTACTGGGGACAATAAAGTGCTGATTTCTGACGGGCTCTGAGGATCTTTGGTCTCCTTTAGGGAGAAGTCAAATGCTAGTGAACTTGAGGAGCTATCAGGCATGTTAAACAATTAGGCCCCAAAGAGTCATATTCCAATTAACATTTCTGACTTTGTCTTCTAGAATACATATTGTTCTTCTTAAGTTCAATTCTCTAATCAGCTGTTTTCTGGAACTTCTTTAGCACGGCAAAGAGCGGAAACACAGACAATCCTACCACACAGCTGGGTGTGTTCCACAGGTTTGTAAATCAGTTGCTTGTAACATGTCCCAGGCCAACTCATATTATTGAGTCTTCTCATTCATCATATCCCTTCCAGGTGCATTCTGAGTTGCAGCCCGGGACTCAGGTTTACAATTAGCTTCCGGCTTCTGCAGTGAGAGCAGAGGACCCAGAAGGAGAGGCAGGGGAGGCCAGGGCTCTGGGAATTGAGGGTAAGGCTTCTGACTCCAGAAGCTTGCCCTAAGGGAGGAGGAGAGGGAGTCTCGCCTGGTGCCTCGTTCTGAGGGGGTAGCTGTTTGAATGTGTGGGCCACACATGAGCTGTTTATACTATCGTCATTTGTCGCTTAATAAGGCACTGGCTTACCGCTGTAACAGCACAGACTCGTAGTACCTGCTGCCTTCACTGAGCTTACACCCTGTCCTGGAAAATTCTCCCAGCGTCTGAAGCCTCATGTGTGTGAGGTCGTCCGGTACCTAGATGAGACCTTCTGAGGGGCACACGTGTATACCTGACGCCCATCACGTGGAAAATGAAATATGCGGTATGTATTTGTATCTTACCTATGTCCTTGGCCTTTCCAGCAGACTTTCCAACCCCTCAACTTTCATATCTTTTTAACAGGAAAGTTTTTCATTTTCATTTTGCTTTTAGCAGCCATTTAGAGCTAGAGCTGAGATTGTGTCACATCTTGTGATTGGTGTGGTGGTTTTCACTTGTTAGTTCTGGCTGCATGATGGGTCATAAGAGCACCTTGGTTAGAAATGGACTTGATTGACACTTGAAATTAGGTAAATGAAAGATTTTCTCAGACCCCCAAATGTGTTTGCTCTCTCGGGAATTAATTCAGGGCTTTAATGCCTTCTTTTCTCAGATCTTTCTCAACCTCCACTGGGATACCACACATATCTCCTACCCGAATGTATCCATGTCATTGGCTTGCCCTGCTTTTAATAGCACTGAGCTAAGCTGCAACTAATTAACTATGCTGGGTTAGTCAGGATCACCTGAGTTCAGCCTGCACAGCAGCCA